GCTTTATTTTTTTAATTCTTTTTTTCTCTCTTAAAAAAAAATTCTAAAACAAGGCATGTAGCAAAATGTGAGCACTGGCTGGATATTTGATGCTCATAAAAATTATTCCCTACCTTATGTTTGATAACTGTGCTGTAGTCACTTTTAAAGGGTTCTTACCTTTCAGAGAAACATACTGAAATATTCACAAAGGACACGATTTCTGGTAGGAGCCGGGGGGGTACCCAATTGCTCACTTTCTCGAAATCTGATAATATTGAGCAATTGTAATTTTGCTTAAATGAGACAATGGTACTACGGTTCTCTTTAGACTCCTATCTTTTAAAAATGGACACTAAATATGTATAGGTAAAATATGATATTCACATTCTTTTCCAAATAATCTGAGCTGAGCAGTGAGAAATGGGCAAATAAGATTATGAGTTGATAACTGCTTCAACCCTTTTATATTAGTGCATGTTTGTGGCCCAGAGTAAATACATTCGTCACCGGGAATTGGTATGTATATATATGGCATTGTGTTTGTTTGTTTGATTTTTGAGACAGGGTCTCACTATGTAGTTGAGACTGACCTGGAACTCACTGTGTAGCCCAGGCTGGTCTGGAACACACAGCAATCCTCCTGCCTCAGCCTCCTGAGTGCTGGGATTACACCACGACCACCTATATAATATGGCATCTTGATCTTACTCACTTCCCTTCTTTCTCCTGTCTTCATCACTTCCAGTTCCCCTCTTCCTATATATCTTTTTTTTCCTTAAACAAAATTTTATTAGACTTATGGTTAATTCCCATTACCATTCACATAAATTTCCATACAATACAAATCCACTTCATTTTCTCAACTACAAATGTTTTCATGACATACACAATTTTGTTACTATCATTAGGTAATGTTCATACATAGACAGATATCTTTAACTTTTTATTTTACATTGAGTCTTCTGGAAAAATCACAAAACTCTTGTATTCTCCCTTTGCGACCCTTCTGCTCCCTCTTCTTTTTCTCCTTCCTCCCTCCACTCTCTTACAGTTAATCATTTCTCTTTACCACTAATATAAACCTATGTGAAATATTTTGTAACTACATTAAAAACCCCGTTACTCTTAAAAGTTTTACCTCTAGCTCTGGCCCAGTTCAGGAATAACTTATTTTACTATTGTTATGGGAAGAGCTGCCCCTAGAAGTCGCATGAATCTTTATCATTTCAGTGGTTGGGGGTCAGGAACTCAGAAGCTGATTTAAAAATGCTGTTCCGACTCAGTTTCTAACGGGGCAGCAGCGAAGGTGTCACCTGGGAATACGTATGTAGTCACTTGAAGATGTGAAGGAGGTGAACGATTTGGTTTCAAATCCAAAGGAGCTGAGAAAGGTGGTTATTTGGAGGGGTCTTCCGTTGCTTAAGGGCCGACATACGGTCTCAGTTCCTCTAAAGAGATAACTTTTTGATTTGTTGATTTTGTGTACTGTTTTTTTCTGTTTCAATTTCATTCATTTCTGCTGTGATCTTTATAATTTTTTTCCTTGTCTTAGTTTCAGATTTGGAGTCTTCTTGCTTTCCTGATAACTGTTAAAAACTAGATGATGGTAGATAAATATGGGAGGGGCAGCCCTACTTATAAAGCACATTTTAATGTGTCAGACACCGAGCTAAGTGTTTTACTCCATGGCTTCTAATAACCAGAAACATCCTACTATTGTTACCATTTTGCTGATGAGGAACTGACATCCAGAAAGACAAACTGACTTTCACTGCAACAGACAGCAGGGATAAGAACCACAGGACAACTCAGGGACCCATGGAAGTTGAGCCGCAGGCATTCTCAGGAGCCACAGGTCCTGGAACAAGGCAGCTGAGAGCTGGACCACACACGTGCCTTCTGCCAGGGTCTCCCCTGGGCCCCGGCCTGGACACTTGTGCACGCCCTAGCAGCCCCAGCGAGAAGAGCTCTGTGCGAATTGGGGACGAAGGACGGCATCAGACCGGCCTCGTGTCCCTCCTGGGGCTGTGTGCAGGGCCACCTTGACAGTCCTCTGATGACGAGGACTGGCTCACCTCCTGCCTCGCCCTTGGCACCTCTAGCCCTGTCTCCCTCCATTCTGCCTGATGCCACTGTCTTCCAGCCATCTGCTGGCGAGCTGGCGGGCCTCCTGCCTCTCTCATTCCTCAGGGGGACAAGGACAGAGGAGCCATCCTCCACCCAGGCTGCTGGCCTGGCTGCCTGGCTCATCCCTCTGCCTCCAGGAGCGACTAGCAAGGACCACACTGAGCCAGATGGCTGTCGCTGTCCTCTGATCTCCCCGGATCCCCGACAACAGGTTCTTTCACTTTCTGGCTTGATCTCGGCACTGACGCACCCTGCAAGGCAGCAGCTGTGACTAAGCCTGTGTTTTGGACCCTGCTTTGGGCCCGGCTGGTGCCTGGGATGCCAAGATGCCAACGGGAGAGGTATCCGGGGAGGGACCTGGGAGGGACCTGGGAGGGCCCAGTTCTAAGCTTTCCCAGGGTGAGGAGGGTGAGATCCTGGGACAGGAGGGCAGGTGGAATTGGGATGGCCCGGAGGAGGTGGCCCTAAAGACCAGGACTCACTGGAGTGTTCCTAGGGGTTTGGGATCAGACCTTAGCAGCCGGTGCAGAAAGCCATAGCCTGACATGGAGACAGGAAGGGCTCTGAGGCCAGAAACCTGATTTTAATCCTTGCCCAGCCACATAGCAGGTTGGGGGCCATGGCCTGGTGCCCACATCTGTGATGGGGGTCGTGACGGTAGCTTCCTTGTGGGACGTGTTGCAGGGCATACAAAGGAAAGAAGAAGTAGAAATGCTATGAAGAGGAAGAGCACGTGTCAGTTCACTGTTCTCCCAGATAGAACACTTTGGCCCACAGTGCAGCGGGGCAGCCCGAGGTGTGGGCTGGCACGGGGATCTGAGCCTGGAGCCCCTGCCTCTGTGCTTGGCTCTCTGCAGGCACAGGGCTGAGGACAGCAGAGCCCACTTCTGCCCTCAGCTTCTGCTATTTTTGCAACTTCCTCCTCCTGCCTCCCCGTCCCCTAGGCGGCTCCTGGGCCAGGGCCCCTGTCTGAGAGCTATCAGGGCTCCTGTCCTGAGGTGGAATAGGAAGGAGCTGCAAGGGACGAAGCAGGCAGAGTTGGGGGAACAGCCCCAAACTCACAGACGTACTCTGGGAGCCTAGCGAACTCCAGTCACCCAGTGCACCAGGAGAGAAGGGCTCCCCAGGGATAGTTAGGTGTCTAAGCTGAAGCACATGTGTGTTACCGCTTGGGTCAGCTGTCGGGACCGCAGATAAGAGTCTGGAGCTGGAGAGAAGCTGCCTCCGCGTGCTGGATGGAGCCTTGGGCCCGAGATACTCTCCAGGTCTGGAAAGCCAGAGGCTTCTCTGTCCAAGACAGCCCAGGGCCATGTCACAGCCCCTGGGCCAAGCAGCTTAGCTGCCTTCACCGAGGAGCCAGGGCCTGGGCCCAGCACCCTTGGGAACCTCACCAACAGCAAGCGAATCCCTGCGCCCCACCCCGTGCCAGCCTCGCCTCTTCTCGCCCTCCCTAGCCCCTGAAACTGAAACACTCTCCGCAAGGCAGAAAGAGCTGGGGCACAAGGCGCGTCCCGGGGCTCCCCTCCCATGAGAGGCTGCTCGGCATCAGCTAGGGTTCTCAGCCTTCCCACTCCCGGAGAAATAAAGTGTGACATCACAGTGCTACTGGGAACACTGAGTCATGGCAGCATTTACTATGCGTGTGTGAGAGAGGCCACCGCTGCTCTGCGCTTCTCCCTGCAGGGGCTGCGTCCTCACCTGCCTCATGGCCTCTCCCCACTCACCGCTGAGAAAGGAGGCCAGGGAGGCCCAGATCCGTGCACAAAGCTCCCAAGAACCTTTCACAAAGGCCAGAGCAGTTTTCTGTTCCCAGGCCACCTAATCCCACAAGGCCCCCGACCCCCAGATCTCGGGGTTGCCAGAGTTTCCCTGGGGGCTTTTTCAGGAACCCATCTTTGTCGCCTGTGTGGCCTGTGACTGTAGAGGAGCTGCAGAAACGGGCCTGGCTGCGCAGCAGGCCAATGCCACCAATGCTGACTGCAGACAACAGGCCTCTGGCCAAGGCCCCAGCCGCAGTCTCTCTCCCAGATGGGTGGAGTCTTTGGTCCTCTGCCTCTCCCGCCCTGCTGTGAGGTGAAACGTGCAGATGGGGCTTCCTAAGCCCAGGGAGAGGGGTCTTCCGTCCCCTGGGCCTCAACACACAACTCATGAGCCCACAGCCAGTCTCTACCTTGAATGGCCGTGTGACGGCCTCCAGGTGAGGCTCATGCCAGCACACATGGTCTTGGGGCGGCTATAGAAAGCATACGCTCTAGCAGAAGATTCAAGAAGGCTCCAGTGCACAGGCCAACGTGGGCCCATAGGCATCCCCCACCTGAGTCCTTCCTGGATCTCCTTTGTGCAGTCCACAACCTGTGCATTTATTCTTAGCACCCCTGTCCCCAAATGGGAAAGGGAAGGACTGGACTCAGACACCGCAGTTATTCAACCACTGGCCTGATGGAGATCAAAGGGCTGTTGGGGCCCAGCAATCTCATCTGTGAATGAGTGGAAGGGGCCGGACAGAACCAGGATTCCTGGTGACAGTGACATCATCATGACCAAAAGCGCAGACAGGGCGGGCAGCCCAAGTGCTTTCTCCGTGGTATCTCGGTTCTCACCGCTGCCTTCACCCTGTTCTACAAAGAGGCAGCTGAGTTTCAAACCAGCTGCTCTGTGCTGAACCGGCAAACCCAACACTGAGGACCAAATCCTTCCCGAGCCCAAGCTGCATCTCCCTGGGTTTAAAAGAAACAAAACCCCGCGGCATGCGGGTCAAGCCTTCATCTGTTCTCACAGGTACAGCGGCCAGCTCCGCGGCTCCCCTCACTGTCAGTTGGCCGTCATTTAGTCGGTCAATGCGCATTGGTGGACAAGCCCTATCAGGTGCTCAGCCCAGGGAAGAGGCCTACCGTTCGTTGTTCAGGGTCATTCTTGGGGGGTCCAGGTTGGGGTTCTCCATGGACTCCATCTGTGGACAGCGCAGGAAGTAGTAGAGTGTGTGGAGGGCGTCGGGGGACCAGGTGATGGGCTGAGGCGGCTGGCGGGCCTGGCGGGCTGGGCTGGTGCCTGGACACAGAGGGTGACGTCCCTGCATGTGGTGCATGGCTCGGGAGACCAGGTCGCCTGGGGTGCAGGGGAGAAAAACCAAAGACAGAGCCTGAGTTCACAGCCCACATTCTCCCAGGGAGGCTTGGGGCTAAAGAGAACCAGCTCCCTTCGCTGGCTTAATTACTATTTATCCTCCAGTCTGCAGGCGGAGGTGGAAAGTGTCACCTATGTGCACAATAGCAATTTAGTTTCCCTTTCATTTCCAGTCTTGTCTTAAGAGATAAATTAAACACTCAGCGCTGGCCTCCTCCAGAATTTATGCTAATGTGGTTTCTTTTTCAACATCCCCACACTCTCTCCCACCCCAGGCCCGTCCCTGGCTCTGTGCTCTAGAGAATCCCTCTGGTCTTTGTCCCCAGCCCAGACAGGCTCTGCACAGAGAGGGCCTCTGACCTCTGTTCCTCCAGGACACTGGACAGCCCTGTCCACGTAACGCTCACCTAATGTCTCAAGGGTACGGTTCCTTAGAGATGTGAGTTAATCTGACCTTTACACCTCAAGGGTGTCAAGTGTTATTCCCGTTTACAGATGAAGCAGTGGAGGCTTATCTGATAAACATTTACTGACCCCAAGCATTCTCTGAGTCTCAGGGAAGCTGGGTGCACACAGGTAGTGGGTACACAGTTAGTGATCGGGATGGTCTACACTTGAACCCAGGCTCCCTTGACTCCAAACTTGACTCCGTGAACTTCACTATGATCTGGGCTGCAGCCCATCCTGTCGGGAGACTGTGGGGTCCCAAGCCCCCACATCCTGTGTTGTGTTCCTGTAGGTCAAGTTTTTTCAATATCCCTGCAGCCCTGGACAGGAAGCGTCCCATCATTGTGTGAGACCACAATGCTGAGAAAGGATGCGCTGAAATAGCTCTGGGCACCTGCAGGCACCTCCGAGTGGCGCCTCTGCTAGTGCATTCCCCCCAGGCCTGAGAACTTGAAGGTCTCTCCTGGGGCTCAGCCCCCTCCCCTGCATGGCAGCCCCTTCCATAGGAAGCCTCCAGACACAGCTAATAGGAAAGTAGCAGAATCGAATAGGTCACAAGTTGACCAGGGACAGTGCGCCTTTAAGTGTGCAACAGAGCTAATTCATTCATCTCTCCAATTAACTTTTTTTCTTTTTTTGGCAGTGGGGGGCTGTTGGTGGGGAGTAACCAGGGATCAAACTCGGGACTTTGTGCTTGTGAGGCAGGCGTGGTGACACTACGCTAAATATCTGGCCCTCCAATCAACTTTGATTATCCATCTTCCCGGGACTCTGGGACCAACTGCAGTCCCTAGCGTCCCTCGGACTCCACACAGGGTCTTCCACATAGGAGGCACCAGGCAAATGCGGAGTGTGAAAGAAGTGTCTGGATGTGCGTTTCACTTTTGAATGCAACTTCCAGAAGGCTCAACTTGAGTTTCTTAGATGCCAGATTCTCCCAAGACAGCAATGGTAACAACGTCTGGCTTCCAAACAGGGACAAATGACACTCCTAGAATAGCCCTCTCCCCTGGGAAAGAGTCCCCCTCTTCCCCTTCCTCCGTCCCCTGGTAGTCACTTTCCCTGTACTTCTGGCTCCACTCATCATGAAGTCAGCTGCCTGGGGCTCCCCCTGACCCACAGCCAACTGGGGCCGTGAGTTCCTGACACCCAGCTCCTACCAGAGACTTCGGTTCCATCCATGTGGGCAGGACTCTGGCATCTGCAGTTTGTAAAAGTTCCCCCAGCGATGCTAATATTCAGCCAGGATTTAATCACTGGGATTAAAATCACCAGCAAAACTGATCAGAGCATAGATTCGAGTCAGACACACGTGGCTTCAAATCAGATGTCTGCTACTGTTAGCCACAGAGCCTCAGTTTCCTCATCTGTACAGTGGAAATGATAGTGTCTACCAATTTTGAGGATTCAAAGAAACAACAGATGGAAACCACTTACCATCACTTTGTCACAGACCAAGGACTTGGTAAGGCTGAATATCATACTAGTACTATTGTTATTCCTCTTTTTCTTTTTGGAGACAAGGTCTCACTGTATAGAACAGGCTGGCCTTGAACTAGTGGTGATCCTCCTGCCTCTGCCTCCCGAGTGCTGGGGTTACAAGCATCTGCCACTATGCTCGCCTTATTATTCCTTTGCCCTATAGTCACCTCATGAAGAGCTCATCCTTCTAGACCCATGACCTATGGTTAAGCACTGCCCCACATTTCCCAGGTTAGGAGGAGTCTTGAACCCTGAAATGCTCAGCAATAATCCCAGCCCTGCCCTTGGGCTCCTGAGTGGCAGAAACTGGCATCACCGGCCGCCCTGCCTCCCTCCCTCAGCCAGTTGCCAGGCCGGAGGCTGAACCTTGGCTTCCATCTCTGAGGTCTAAATGTCCTAAGACTTGGCAGGATCATAGGACCCCAAGGAGGAGAAATCAAAGAGTCTGTGATAGCATCAAGGATGCATCTTGTTGAAATTTCATTGCAAAGTCTCAACAAGGGAGAAGCCATTATCATTATTTCTGTTGTTGTTTATTGTTATGGTGGGCAATGCGGCACAGTTCTAGCCAGAAAGCAGGGAAGAGAACCAAGGAAGGAAGGGAAGCTGTTCCTTAGGGCTTCCCCCAAAGGAAGCCAGGAACAAAGAGGCCCCCAGAGAGAGGGTTGGGAACCCTCACAGGCAGCAGGCGCTGGAGGTGCCCAGCTCATCCGATCTAAGCCCCATTTCACGCAGTCCTTCTTCACATCGGCAGGGAGGTAGTTACCCTCGACAGGTGAGGAAAGGAGCTCGGAGCAGTTCAGTGATTTGCCCCAGCTGCACAGCTGCCAAAGGAGTCAGCCAGGACTGGAGCTGGTCATTTTATGTCCAGCTAACGTAATAATAACTTTAAAAATTGGGCCTGCATTTTACACGTCCTATTTCACTCTTTTTTTGTTGTTATTGGTTTTGTTTCTGAGACAGGGTCTCCCTCTGTAGCTCAGGTTGGACCTGAACTCAAGGCAATCCTCTTGCCTCTGCCTCCCAAGTGCTCGGATTATAGGCCTGCACCACCATGCCTGGTTTACCTCATTTTTCCACACACTCACTTCGGTTGCATTATATAAAGTTTCTGTCCCTGGCTGTGCCCCACAGGCTGTGCGAGGAGCCCAGTCCAGTTGGGCTGGGCTCTTAGATCAGTGTAGGTGGGTGCTCGGCTTCCGCAACTTCCTCCTACTTGCGAATCAATTGATTCTAGGCTCGGGGAACTTGGCCTGGAGCCCAGAAACGCCCACCAGGCATGGAAAAACAAGCCCTCCCCCCTTGTTAACCATGAAAGACTTGATTAGAGGTGCTGCGGGTTTCACTCCAGTCTTTCCAACCTCATTATGAGCCATCAAATAAAGATGGCAGGGAAGAGCCTGGAATTGAGCACTATCTTTGAAAAAGGTCTCTAACATCTGGCCACAGGCCTCTAACATCTGGCAGCCTTCAAAGAGAAGTGAGTTGTTTTGTTTATGTTTTGTCCCTTCCCTTTAAAATTTTCATGGGTACAGAGGGATAAAACAGAACGTAAGGACCTGTGCTCCCATAGTAGCTGGATCGACACAAAAATGAAACTTCTTACCCCACCAGGCAGGCTGGACTTGTGGGGTACGGAGAGTTAATGCGTGTAAAATCCAGGGTAAACTTTTAGGTCCACGGTGCTTGGTGCCAAGTATCACTAGTCTCATTAAGCGCTTTAGTCTCAGAGAAAAATTACAGTATCTGCCTCCGCCTCTGTCTCCTCCCTCCTCCACGAGAGGCAGCAGAACCTCTGGTTTCAGAGGGAGGGACAGGGGCGGTGTGGCAGGTGACCCAGCCTGTCCTGTCGATGCTGAGAAGACCTTTCTCTGTCTTCAGGAGCTGCAGGAGACAAACACTAGGTGGGACGGAGCTTATTCCTGTTAACACACACACACACACACACACACACACACACGTGTGTATACCGACTCTGAGCATGGCGGCTGTTCTGTGCCATGCACTGGGGGCAAAGCAGGGGGCAGAAGAGATCAAGTCTCTGTCCTCTTGAAGCCAAAGCCGACATTCTACTCCAGAGGAGATGATAAACTACCGAGGAATAAATATCTAAATGTCAAGTGGTGGTCTGCTCACGGCATCAAGCCAAAACCCCTGAAAGGAGGCACTGGAATGAGAGTGGGAGCTCATTTATAAAAGGGTTTAGGAAGGCCTGTCTGATAAAGTGCCTTTGGTTGGACGCTTAGAAGGAGTGAAGGATCGATGTTTGGGCATCTGGGGAAAAATGCAGCAGAAGAGGGAGTAGTCAGTGCAAAGGCCCAGAGGTAGAAAAGTACTTGGCCAGGAGGTCATGGGCTGGAGCGCAGCTGGAAGATCTAGAAGTAAGCACCAATAGAAGAGCAGGCAGCCAGTCCTTTCCCACTTTCTCCCTCGGACCCCAGCCCTGCCATCCTGCTGGATGGATGTGGAGGCCACACTTACTCAGCTCCGAGATGCTCCCGACGCACGTGGCCAGGAGAGACTGCTCCAGGGTCCGCAGCTCTAGCTGGGCATAGGCGTCGGCTCGCTCATCGTGACCCAGGGACCCGCCATTGTAGGGACTGAAGTACGCAGGGAGGGAGAGGACACCTGTGGGGAAGCAAAGTGGAGAGGTCACCTCGGGAAGCTGGGAAAGCTCCACGGGCCGCAGCCGTGTGGCAAGCTCGGCCCTGTTCCCTGTCTGGACAGAGCAGGGCAGAGGACCGAATCTCACATCGTCACTGCGCCTGGTGCCGTGGGGGCAGAATGAGAAGCGGCCGCTGCAGTCTGCACCCAGCAGAGCCGGTCATTTCTTGGAGTTGCCCTAGGAGCCAGCCTGGCAGGCTCGAGGGCCACTCAGTTTGCAGCGTGCCTGAGCGGCACCGTGGTGAGGCCTGGCTGTGTGGCCGCGAGCTCAGGGCGCTGAGTCAGAGGCGAGGGCCCGTCCCGCCCACCCAGAGGCCAGTGACCCCTGCAGAGTCCTCTCCCTCCTCCATGTTGTCTTTCTCCGTCAAGCCCAGAGGGGCTGGGAGCTGCCGCCCCGAAGGACACTGCCTTTTCCACTCCCAGAAGGCCAAGCATCCCAGCCCTGGCCAAGTCCAATTAGCATTTCTCATTAGCACTTCAACAGCGCTAGCGGAGCCAAGCTGTCAGATCCCATCCCAGGGGCGACAGCCTGCGAAACCCTCCGACTATAATCAGGGCTTCGTGGTTTCTCAGAAAGCCCCAGAAAAGCAAAACCAGGCGTTTAAAATGACATGTTGCTCCTTAAAAGCATGTGGTCACAGAGTTCTAGTTGCAGGGATTCTAGAACAGGGATTCCCAGCTTTTGGTAACTGCTGTTTCTTCGCCCAAATTTTCCAACTTTTTTTTTTTTTTGAA